CCGGCCACCCGGCCTTCCTTCCCTCCCCTCCCACCCCTCCCCTCCCTCCCGTCACCATTTCCCTGGAACCGACCTGAGACAACCTGACAATGGCAAGCCAGGACCGGCCTGATAGTAACTTGAATGACCTGGTCCCATCTTGGTCCCATCTGAGATGGAGACAGACTGCAGGACCCTGATGCTTAGAGACCACGGGCGGCAGGCCCCACCCCCAGGCCGCAGGCCCCACCCCCAGGGCAGCCCTTATCCGGGAAGTGGCCTGATCCCTGGCTTCTTTATCCCATCCTGAGTCACCATTTCTGTCCTAAGTCTGAGAATAGAGTTGGAGATTTCTAAGTGGAGCCCAACATTTTTGTCTTAAGCTCTTCCCCAGGGTTGTGGTGATAGTGTGAATTTCGGGGATAGGGATGGACAGCGCAAACCTGTCCATGCCTAGCGGAGGGAGAGCGGAGGGAGAGCGGGGAGCTGGCAGCGAGGCCGGGACTCAGCTGATTGACCTGAGCTGACCTGGGGGAAGGAGGCTGGAAAGGGTAGGGAGGGGCTTTCAGAGCCGAAGGAACAGGTCTGGCAAATCCCAGGGTGTGACAGAACTGGGCTTGAGGAAGGGGAGTGTTGGGGTTACTCCCTGGTGACAAAGCCTGGGGGCGCGGGGGGGTGGGGTGGGGGGAGGGGACAGGACGCCCAGAAGGGCTGTGAACTGAGGAGGAGGCAGGGTCAGCTCTCATGTGGGGCAGGAATGGAGGCGAGGAGGCAGTGGCCAGCCTCCCAAGAGAGGAGAGGATGAGGCCAGGCCTGGGTAGAGAGAAGGGGACCAGATGGAGAAAGTTGAAAAGAAGCTATCCGCAGATTTTGGTGGCCTCTTTGCTGAGAGACCTGAAGGCTTCATTCCTCCTTTGAAGTTGGGGCTCTTTTCTGTTCTGTATCCTCCTGCAGCCCCTCAAGGGGTGACCCCCCACCCAGGGACCAAGGTGGAGGAAGGGGCCTTGACCCCTCACTCCAAGGCCTAATGCAGCTATAAGACTGAGGGCAGGTAAGGAGATGTACTTCCTGACCTCAGAGGAATGGGGGAAAGGCAGGTTCCTCCAATTTGCCAGAAGCTGCCTCTGGTCCAGACTCCAGCTGCTGGCTTTCCCCAAAGTTCCCCACTGATGACATCAGCGAGCCGCTTTCCCAGTTTCCTCCCCTCCTCGCCAGCACCCGCCCCAGCCCTGGCCCTCCCCCAGGCCTGCCACCCACCCTCCTCTCTGACCAGTCGCTGAGCCTTAGTTTCCTTAGCTTTCAAATGGACGTGCTTACACCTGCTTTCCAGGTTGTTGTTAAAATTTACTAAGATAAAACTGCAGGAAGGGGGGCACGAGAGACAGGACACTTGGTTTCAGCCCGACGTTAATGTGAGTTTGGGGTGTGTCCCCTGCCACGGAAGACAGGACCGGCCCGCTTGGCGCGCATCCCGCCGCAGCCCTGCAGAGCGGTGCTGTTATTATTACCTCCAATTTTTGGATGTTGACACTGAGAGGCACAGACCCTTGGTCAAGATCCTACAGATAATTAGAGGCTTCTGCCCACAACTCACAGAGCTTCTCTCCAAACCTGAATCTTTCAGAGCCTCACAGCGAGGCCCACACTCCCAGACCCTGGGTTACAGCCTGTGAGGCTCTTCCCACCTCCTCCTCCCCTCCCTGCAGCCTCAGTCAAGGTCAGAGCTTTGGTCAAGGTCAGGGGGCTGAGGTCTACAGGCCAGTTAGGCCCCTCAGCAGTGGCCCATCTCCTTTTCCGGATAAGAAGGGAGGGAACACCTAGGGAGACTGAGAGCCATAGTTCTAGAATATTCTGCATTTTTTCTTACCCAGAGGAAACTGGCCTTCTTGTCTTTCTGTCTGCTGTAAACAAATTTTCAAGGGGACCTTTAAGGCACTGGCTGCCAGTCCAGAGATGAGGAGGTTTGATTGTGAAAATCTCTTCTTCCAATATTCATTTTTTTCACCCAGTAGGTGCTGGGAAATGGAGATGGGGGGAAAAAAAAGCAAGGAAAAAGGTAGGGATGTAGGGAAATGAATGAGGCAGGGAGATGTTGGCAGAGACTCAGTGAGAGGGGGAGAAAAAAACAAATGGGGCCAGAGGGGGACTTGACAGAGGTAGAACTTGTACCCCTTCTGCATGTGTCTCCTGAGCACCTATTAACGTATGTGTAAGAAGACTCTGAGACTGAGAGATCCCAAAGGGACTGTCCTGGAGAAGGAGAGAACGAGGACAGAGCAGAGACTGGAGGTGGCACCCAAGTGGTGTAAGATCCATCTTGTCCATCTGCCTCTTTTCTCTCTGTCTCTGTCTCTGCCTCTCTGTCTCTGTATCTGCTTTTGTCTTTCTATTCCTGTCTCTGTCTGTTTCTTTCTTCCTGTCTTCCTTTCCCTGCCTCCCTCTTCCTCTCTGTCTCAGTCTCTGTTTGTCTGTCTCTCTCCCTGTCTTTGGTTCTGTCCTTGTCTTTTCCTCCTTATCTTTCTATTTCCCCCTCTTTCTCTTTTTTTGGTCTCTTTTTCCATCTCTCTCTCCTCCTTCCCCCTCTCACTTCCTTCCCTCCATCCTTCTGCCTTCCCCCAAGCATTCCCCCTGGCCCCCGGTGTCCCAAGTCCCATCCTTGGCCAGCGGGGAGCCAGACAGAGGTGCCAAGTCTACCCCTTACCCTTCAAGGACTCACTGTCCAGTTGGAGAAGGGAAGAGAGGACCACAGTGGGAAGAAAGCAGAGGCCATTCCTCAGAAGGCTTGCCTCCTCCTACCGTGGGGCTCCCTCCTCCTTCCCGCAGCTTCTTCCTGCTTCCCAGTCCCCAGAGGGTTCCTCTCCACCCAGAATCAGGGGTGGGTTCTGGACCAGAATGAAATGCCACGTGGCCTTGAGGGAACAGGAACCAAGAACATTAGGACCACAAGACACTTTCACCTCTCTCTAGGATCTTCATTGATTTTGATTCTCAGGGCTGAATCCCCTCTGCTCACAGATTTCTCCCATTCATCTTAGACAGGGCTTCATGTGCTGCCTCAGCTGGGCCCTCAGAGGCCCTTTAGCTGCCCAGCCCACAATCAACGGGCCACAGTCTCTGGGCTTCTAACTTCCAGTTCCCAAGGGAGAGAATCTTCTTGGTACAACTTACTCTCTGGAGCCAGCTCCCACCCCCAAGCATCATAGCCTGTCCAGTGGATGGGCCATCCTTGGGCCAGTCGTTGTCTTGTGATGTACTATGGGCTGTGGTTTTGCCTTTTATAAAGTCACCCATCCTCTTGGATTAGCGCCAACCTCATGGTAACCTCATTATATCTTGGTCACCTCTGTAAAGACCCTGTCTCCAAATCAGGTCACATTCTGAGGGACCAAGGGGTTAAGATTTCAATATATGTTTTTCAGAGGGATACAATTCAACCCATAACAGGCTGTAACAAGGTCTGTGGGCTGGGCAAGCAAAAATACACTTCCTTAATACAGTGCACATCATGATCGCCCATCACCTGCACTCTTTATCTTATGCATTTAATGCCATTAAAAAAAAATCAAACCTCAGTCATGGCAGGTGAATCACAGATATACTCAATCACTCCGCAGAGATATAACCTCCCAAAGTCAGCTCTGTCCACAGGATCTGTCTCTGATGTATGGGGCGACCTTAGTTGATCTCAGAATTCACCACCTCTGATGAAACGGATTCCTCCTCTGGGCCTGCCCTCATCACATTCATGTGTGACTCCCCCCAATTCTATGATCTGTGTTCTAAGGGCTAGATTTGACCATTTACCCATACACCCAATATACAACATGGGAACCAACTGGTCACTGGCCCAGAGCCCATACAGACAGCATCTTTTGCTTTATATGGGATAATATCAAAAGTTGATGGAGGGGGGTGGTAATAGCTCAGTGTTAGAGCATGCGCTTAGCATGGATGAGGTCCTAGGTTCAAGCCCCAGTACCTCCATTAGGAAAAAGAAGAAGAAAAACTGACTGCATGTGTGTATGTGCCAGGCACGGTTTTAATCCTCAGAGATAGCTGTGGGAGCTGGCAGTCAGCAGCCCGCAGCCAGAGGGTGTGTGCTTAACCAGAGAGAGACAAGTCCTGTCCGGCTCACTGTGTCAAGTACATTCCATACAGAGCTGAGTGAACGGAGGTTGCACTTTCAGTGGCCAGGAGGAAGGACCTCACATGGAACTTGCGGGCAGTAAGACTGAGACTCAGCTGAGCTTTGAAATGAACCTTATTCAGTCACCCCAGCCTCCCTGACTCCTTTCTTTCAAGTCAAAAGGGGTTAGAGGAGGTTGTGCCACCAGGAAGCTATTTCTGGTTGGGCTCAACACCTGGGGATGGCCCAAAGGGCCCACCCCCACAGCTGAGTTGGTTCAATTCAAATCCAGGCATGTAGTTGATAAGCCTGAATCTCTTCTGGAAAGATAACGCTTATGTGCTCTTAATAGCTCAAGGGTTTCAGTGACTTATAAATCAGAAGCAGGGATATTGCTACATTTGGTCTTTTGCTAACTTTTTTTTCGGAGTATAGTTGATTTACAATGTTGTGTTAGTTTCTGGTGTACAGCATAGATATGCATATATATGTATTCTTTTTCATACTATTTTTCATTATAGGTTATTACAGGATATTGAATATAGTTCCCTGTGCTGTACAGTAGGACTTTGTTGTTTTCCTATTTTATATATAATAGTTTGTTACATGTAACACATCTGCTAATCTCAAACACCTAATTTATCCCTCCCCCCACCCCGTCCCTTTTGGTAACCATGTTTGTTTTCTATGTCTGAAAGTCTGTTTCTGTTTTGCAAATAAGTTCATTTGTATCATTTTTTTTAGATTCCACATATAAGTGACATTATATATTTGTCTTTCTCTGTCTGACTTACTTCACTTAGTATGATCATCTCTAGATCCATCCATGTTGCTGCTAATGGCATTATTTCATTCTTTTTAATGGCTAAGTAGTATTCCATTGTGTGTGTGTGTGTGTGTGTGTGTGTGTGTGTACAGATATACAACATCTTTTTCCAGTCATTTGTCAGTGGACATTCAGGTTGCTTCCACATCTTGGCTATTGTAAATAGTGCTGCTGTGAACATTGGTGTGCATGTATCTTCTAATTAATGGTTCCTCTGGATCATATGGTAACTTTAGTTTTTTAAGGAATTTCTGTACTATTTTCCATACTAGTTGCACCAAATTACATTCCCACAAACAGGGCAGGGGGGTTCCCTTTTCTCCATACCCTTCCCAGCGTTTGTTATTGGTAGACTTTTTAGTGATGGCCCTCTGCTAACTTTCTATCAGCCACAATTAACCCAAAAGGACCATACCTGCATAGCTTCTGGCACCTTCCCAGCTTCAGCCAGGTCACAACTAGCTTGATTTAACCCCAATGTTCTCTTCTTAGTGGCCACTTGGTTCAGTAGTTTGACCATGAACACGAGCCCTAGACCAAATCAAATAGAAATCTTTATCTTTCATCTACCTTGGTGCAAAGTCTCCAGGATATGCTGCGATTATAGCCTGCTCATAAGGAAGAGGTTTTAATACGTGGGTGGGAACCTCACATTCACAGAGAAGGAAGAGGGAAGTCTTTGGAAAAGCTGAGAGAACATCATTCCTTTGACTCCTCCCAGACGTCTCCATTCCTGTTCTCTTGGAGCCGCATCTTACACAATTAGGTGCCACTCCTGGCCTTCCACTGTGGCAACGTGTGCTGGTCCCACCTAGACTGCAAGATGACAAAGCCTATCAGTCATTTCTAGATGTAATCTTTGGCGATAACAAGGTATTAACTGTGATGACATTAAGTAATTGTCCTGTTCAGCTTTCCCTTACTGGCTTCTAGCCGCATAATGGGGAGTCAGAACCGACTTGTTTCCTGCTTTTCTTTTCTTACAACTGCTTTACTTTTGCTCAGCAACCTTATCTTCAAAGTCTCATCCTTTGGGGACCTTTAATTTGTTCTAAAGAATCCCAGCCAACAGCTTAATTAACAGCTTCACTCTACAAACCACTGGGTCAAGATTCATGTCCCAGGATGGGGAATTCTCCAAGTCCCTTACCTCCTATAACACCATAGTGACTCCTGTGTGTTCTCAGAAGGTCTGGGCTATGCAACCACCCTATCCTAGGAACTAATTTCTGTTGTAACCAGAGTTGAAAAGAACAGGTTGTATACTCATTCAAATATAAGTGTGTGTGTGTGTGTGTGTGTGTGGTGGAGGGAGGGTAGTAGTCGTCTAAGTAGGTAGGTAGGACGTACGTGTTGGTCGTTACGTACGAGTCGACGACGACGGGTCCGGTTCGGTTACGGTTAACTACCGTTCGGTCGGTCCCTACCCCTTA